CGTTGTCTGTCTTCCAACTAAATAGCTAACATAGCCATGAAAACTAACTATACTCGTGAACTAATAGACTGTCTCCTTATGGTACCTTCCCCAGTACAAGCTTGGTCTCTCTCAGCATATGCACAATGTGCCCAGCCACTTGATGGCATCAGTAGTAACCAGGTAGAGAGCCGGTAGCCCGCCCTCAAAAGAAGTCAGTGAGCACTTGTCAAGGATATGCGACAGACTGAAGTTGACTGCAGCTGTATCGCAGGTCATTAGAAAAACCCGATTTAAAGAGATTAGCTGCACAGTTGCCCTGTCCTGTTCAAAACTGGATGAGATTACTAGGGCCCTACCAATTTCAGGGCCATGAAAAATGCATCATGGACCATGAAATAAGCCCTTCCCTGTGAAATCCGATGCCCCCTTGTTCCTAGGAGCACCCCAGCAAAGGGGACTCCTTGCTTGGCTGGGCAGGGAAGGGACAGGACTTGTCCATCTCCTGCACAGCTGCTCTGCGGGGGGAAACTAGACCCACCTCTGGGTGCCTTCCCCTGCTGCAGGACGCGCTCTGGGACTGGGCAGCAGCCCCAGAGGTTCCTGCAGCTGGAGGAGACTTGTGGAGTTATGTCTGATCTTCCCTGTGCTGCTGGGAGCGCCTGAGCAAAGGGGGCTCCTAGCTCCGGCAGGCCAGGGGAGGGACAGGTCTTGTCGATCCCCTGCACAGACACTCTGTGGGGGAGGCAGAACTCAGACCCACCTCCACCTCCAGGAATCTCCTGCAGCTGCAGGAAGCTCTGCGGTTGCTGCACAGAAGTGAGGGTGGCAATCCCATGACCCCCCCTACAACAGGTTTGCAACCCCCACCCCCACAATCCCTTTTCGGGTCGGGAGCCCCACGGTTACAACACCGTGAAATTTCAGAGTTAAACATCTGAAAACATGAAATTTACCAATTTTCAAATCCCATGGTCGTGAAATTGACCATAATGGACCATGAATTTGGTAGAGATGACCACAGATGCCTTGGCAGAGCAAAACCTGGCAGACAGAAGCATGGTTGTCCAACATTAAGCTAGTGTAGCTGCCTGTTGTTCACTAGAGGGCAGTGAGTCTTCTGAGATTGGTGTGCTCCTACCTCCTGCAAACCAAACTGCAGGGTTCAGTTTCCAAACTGAATGGTGCATGGTTTGGAGAGCTTTCCCTTATGGTCTGCAGGGAAAGCTTCCCTCATTAACACTAGTATAGAAGTATGTGTCTCTTTGTTACAATGTGGTATTGTGATCTTGTGCATGACCATTTTTTAAAACTGTATTATAGAGGTACAGCACCTATACATATAATACTGGACTTTCTCGCTTTGAACCAAAAGATCAACGTGCATCTCCACAAATTATGCTCAATTACCATATATTTGGTTTAGACTTATACTTGTTCTAGGATAAAGTCTGCAGGCTACTTGTATTTTCTTAAACTTCCCTCTGCCTTCACCATGTGCATTGTCAACAAATATAAAATTTATAGCTGATTTTATTTATCTTCTAAAACCTGTCAGATCCATTATCAAAACTGAATATGGAGCAAGGCTCAACATTTGTTTTAATCCCCTTATATGTCTGAATACTTTATAGCTTTAAATCTAATTTATTTCAACATTAAGCAGGGTAATAAAGGATACTGGTGCTCATGTCTCCAAATAAGTATGTTTTGAGGCACCTAGGTTAAAGTTCAGAAGCTCAGCAAAGGTTAACTAGTAGTTTTTCAGCATGGCCTCTAGTGATTTTGACAGAGCTTTAAATTTCCTTTAAGTGATTAATCACAATAGAGGAATCCAGTCAAGTCCTAAGGCTAAGTCTGTGGTGAGAGAAACTGAGTTAGTATACGACCTTGGTTGTAAAGGCTAAAGTTACATCTGCCATTTAACTGAATGTAGAAGGCAAGCAATTTGTATTGCTGCTTAATTTTCCCATTAAGAGCTGTAGAATCATTCGGAGATGTTTTAACTCCTTCCTTGCAAACTGCTGCTACTTCATTTTAAAATGAACTGCTTCCATTCAACCATTCTATTCTATTTTATCAAGGTTCTCATTCACGCTCATCACCGTAGTCTCCGAGTGCCTTCCAATATCTCATTAAGTAACTCGACTAACATCTGTGTGTGTTCTCTCATTCTCTCTATCCCAGGGGGATATTTTTAAAATAAACATGTTGCTATGTATTTATGTTACAGAAGGCAAGGCCAAAGAGATGCACCTTGCTCTTGGGGTGAAAGGTGGTGAGGTTTATGATGGCCCTTAATACCTGGCATGGAGGGGACCATTCCACAGTCTCAAACCAGCCCCTGAGAGAGTTCTAGCTTCAGCAATCTTTACCCTTATTGTAGAGAATTCTGTTGTGTCAAAGAAGTGGAGTTTCTCAAGTCAGCACATTGAGCTGAAAATCCCATGCAGTATCACTACCTCTTGCAATTTTATCACTAGTGTCATGATATTTGATGGTGTTCTTCAAGCCACAGAACATGAATTAACGAGAATCTCAGCTGCTTTTATTTTTAAATGAAAGTTTCTAGGTGCTTCTAGTCATAGTCAGAAACAGAGCACACAGAGCCTTTTTCATGGGATTTGCGTTCTTCCTATAGCAAAACTGGCTGAAACCAGCAGTGTAAAACACACCTCCAAACGTTTCTGAATCTTTAGAAAATGGCTATGTAAGTGTGTAGGCATGTGTGGCTGTCCCTCACTGTAAATCTCTGAGGGTGGCCCCACCTCTTTGCTGTCACGCACCTGGAATGACAGTCGGTACAAAAGAGAAATTAGCTTAAAGAGAAATTTGTCTCTAGGTCTCAACCCTCAGGCAGGGCAGAGCTGTGAATAGTCTATGAGCCCAGGCCCTCAAGCAGGGTGGGGCACCACACAGTCTAGGGCTCGGGAAGGGGGTGAGCACCACACAGTCTAGCATCCTAGCTCAGCAGATGGTAGAACAACACAGGTATCCTGGCCTATGGTGTGGAGGCTGCCACCTCAGGGGTGAGATGGCAGGGGCAGCGGGACGCAGGCCCATCTGACTCCACCACATCCCAGCCCAGGGCCCTAACAGTGGCAGAGTGATCCAGCCACAACATGCTGACCTAGAGTCAGCCAACAATGTAGCCAGACAGTAGTCGACTGCCCATGGCTACTACCTGAACCCTGGGGTCATCCTCCATCTCCCCAGGGTACACTGCCAGTGGCAAGCCCAGCAGCTTCTCAGTGTCAGCCAGGTCTGGCAGCTCTGGCAGCTCAGGAGAGTCCTCAGACCAGAAGTCTTCTGCGGTCTCCTGCATCAGCAGTGGGGAGAACATGTCCATCTCCCTTGGTGGCTGCAACCCAATTGAGCTGCAGGGTCCACCGTTTATACTTCCTGTTCCTCTCCCACCCCTCTTCTTCCAGTGTGGCGAGTGTGGCTTTCCTGGTTCTGCCCACTAGGGGGCATCTGGCCATCCCTCGCTGTCAATCTCCAAGGGTGGCCACACCTCTTTGCTACAGGTTGGTTGTGCAACAGGCTAAGTGGAACTGGAGAAAGACGATAAGATGTCAGGAAGAACATACACTGGTGTGAGACTAGAGGCTCAGGAATGCAGGCATGAGGATTGTTCCTGAGCGTGGTTTGAAGACAAACAACCATGCCTCAGAACATAAAGGTGGCCTCTCAATATGTTTAATAGAGCTTTGTTTCTTTCATCGCCATGAGCTTGTTGCATAATTTATTGCTAATTAAATAAGTTAATGGGACTTTAAAAATAAAACATGAGGATTGTGAGATGAAGGGACAGCTGTGTTACTGAAACCAGGAGCTTCACCCGCAGCTCATTTGCTTGGGAGAGACCTGCATAGTCAAAGACTTCATAGCACTTTTTAGCATTTAGAAAGAAATTTCAAATCATTATCTGATAAGAGGCAAGTGACTCAAAACTAGATGGTTAGCTCAAAATCAGAGATAATGTCATCAATCTCTGAATGATAGAGAGCCAGATTCTGCCATCCTTACCCACTTTGGTAAAAGGGATTATTGTTATGACATTTTTTCTGTCAACTCCCTATTTAGTATTTATACCTATGACTTGCATTTGCCTTCTTTATTAACATTTCAGAATAAATGTTTAAATACCTTCACACCCTGAATTTGATTCTAGAAAAGGGTTATGGTATGCCCACCCTGCATTGTTGCAATGAATGAAACATCTTCTTTTCCATGTGTGTTGTATTAGTGAAAAATTATGAAAATAAGCTTCAAACTGTAAATGTAGTATCCTAATCATAATTTATCTTGCCCCATCCCGAATGCACTTTAGAATCTTAATCAGTACCGTGGATGTTTATTTTGTTACGTCTTTATGCACAAATTCTAACCTTTTGTGTTGTTTTTTGTTTTTAAAGTATGCTTTATCAAACAAGCCTGAGCACAAACCGTTCGATCCCGAACTGACTGCAGTTCATCCGTATCAGGATCAGACCTTCCAACCTGTCTATTTTGTAGCAGAAAATTTTGAAGATGCGAAGGCCAAACTCCAGTGAGTCTGCCATTGGTGCACATTCTTTTCATAGAGACAAATACATTGGGCCAAATGCTAATCTCCAATGCACAGGAGGCACTACTACACCCTACCCGATCTGGTAGCTGAGCTAAGGTTAGAAGCTGGGCTCCATTTACAGTATCAAGGTAGATACATCATCATTCCATAAAATATGGTGGCTGACTCAGAATACACACGATCTGCACATTTGTTTAATAAATAAAAGTACACCTCTACGCCGATATAACGGGACCCGATATAACACAAATTAGGATAAAGCAGCACTCCGGGGCGGCAGGGCTGCGCACTCCGGCGGATCAAAGCAAGTTCGATATAACGCGGTGTCATCTATAACGCGGTAAGATTTTTTGGCTCCCGAGGACAGCGTTATATCAGGGTAGAGGTGTACTGCTTTTTAAAAGTAATAGTTGCATATAAGACTCCATCTACATACTTATCCAGCCCCCCAGCCCCAACATCCAAAAGATGCCTTACTCACATTTGTCCTCGCACCATCTCTCTGAGGTAGGTTCTGATGCTGAGAGGTAGAGAGATTAAATGACTTTCCCAAAGTCACATAGGAAGTTTGTGGCAATCAGGAATTGAAGCTAGATCTCTTGTAGCCCTGTCAAAGGGCTTTACTATAAGGCCATAGGCGCTGACTCCGTGGGTGCTCTTGGGCTGGAGCACCCAAGGAAAATTAATAGTGGGTGCTCAGCACCCACCAGTGGGCTCCTCCTCCCTCCCCCCCCCGTGTCTCCCACCAGCAGCAGGCTCCACCAATCAGCTCCTCCCCCACTCCTCCCAGCACCTCCCACCTACCCTGATCAGCTGTTTGACGGCATGTGGGGAGACAGGAAGAGGTTGGGGGTGAGGCTGGGTGATGCATGCCCCAGATGCCAGGGAGTGGAAGGGGCGAGGGGCCAGGAGCAGATGGGGCGGGACCAACCAGCCCCTCCTCCGGCTGCCAGGATGCCGTTCTGCAGCATGGCGGTCCGGCGTTGGCAGCTGCCTGACATAGCCTGCTCAGCCTGGCTGGGAAGACAGCTTCCGCTCCCTGCCTGGGCTCGGGTGCCAGGGACCGGGGGTGAGCGAGCCAGAGCCTCCCTCCACCTGGCATGTTTCCGGCTTGCTCAGCCATGGTCCCCAGCAGCCAAGCCCGGGCAGGGAGTGGAAGCCGCCTCCCCAACCAGGATCTCTCAGACAGAGCAGCGACCGGCAGGGGTGGCATTGGAATGGCTCCCTCCCACTCCCTGCCTGAGCTCCCTCCTGCCAGGAATGTGCCCTGGGGGGGGCAGGTGCAGAGGTATGACAGAGTGCCCCCCCCCCAAACACACACAGGTAATGTGTGTTGGGGAAACCACTGTGACCCAGGCTGGGCATGGGGGAGGGTCACCGGGGGGATGACATGTGACTGGTCACGGGACTGCCTCTTTAGATCGCGCCCCTCCCCCCCGTATGGGGAGGTACCAATTGTCTATGAGGTGCCCTTGGGGGAGGGAGTGGAACAGGGGTGGAAAGAGGCAGGATGGGGCCTTGGGGGAAGGGGCGGGGCCTGGGATGGAGTGGAGGTCGAGCACCCCCCGGGAAATGAGGAAGTTGGCGCCTATTCGTAAGGCCATCCTTCTGTCCCAAATGTGTAAGCACAAGGGAACAGAATTAAAATTCACAGTCAACCTAAGTTCTGGCATAACATTAGAGTGCAATCTAGGTAACATTCTTATAAAACAGGGTGTGTCGGGCGGGGCAGGGGAGGATATAATTTCCTAGATTTTTTTAAAAGGTAATAAAAAATCCTATTGTGTAACAATGCCTCCCCTGCTTTTAGCAGTGTTTGAACACTGAACCATCAGCACATTAGCTGGCAGGAGGAGAAGGCAGCTATTAGTTGTAGGGGTGGGTAAGAGGCTGCTGGGGACATGTGATGGGTCAGGGTGGGGAATTCTTCAAGGAGAGCCCACTCCAGCTCTCTTTCCCTCAACCTCCTGAAGACGCTGTCTTTTCCAAGGGTTCCCAGTGTACAGTCTTCTATTGCAGTAGTAGCAGCAATTTAGGCTTCACCTTAGGTTACAGTGTTCAGTTATTTTCATACTCTGCCAAAATGTTGCTGACAACTCACCTGACTGAAGAAAAATGGTGATTTTTCAAAAGTGTAAATCTCTGTCAAACCTGAAGAGAATGTTATGGAGCAATGAAAAGGCAATTCTCTGGCCTCAGGGCTTTATCCAGTCCAAATTTCAAAAGCCTACTGCAATGGAGGTTTTGCAGCATCTCAAAAAAGAAAAGCTTCACAAGAATCCTTCATGGTGGAAGGTGTTAGGTAACCTAAATGTAGGGATTGCTTCCAGCTCCCACTATAATTATATAAATTCCAAATGGAAACATTGACATAAATGACTGCTATTGATGTAAAACAGGAGTAACATAGTAGTAAATAAGGCCCTACAGGTTTTATGTTTAGGGTTTTGTCTGCAGGTTCAAATGTCATTTACCTATCTCTTATCTTCTCCCCGTCCCCAATAGAAAATATGCTCTGAAGATCAAGAAGCCTTTTTCTCTTCACTATGATCCATTCACCTGCAGCATAGAGGTTCTGAATACACCTCAGAAAGTCAAGAACACGCTCAGTCAAATGAAAGAGGAGCTGAAAAACCTCTGCTTTGCCCTTGAAAACATTTCTTAAAAGCCAGTTTTAGCTGGTGCTGAAATGTGTACAAATAACCCGAGAACTTACTGATTTCTAGTGGTGAAACTGCGTATCTGAAGATCCTAACTCATGAGTAGCTGAGTCAGTCTAATCACCTCACTGAGTCAAGCTACACAATCTTAGCCACATTCATTACTTGTTATTAGTATGTTTCAGTGACAAACAACAAAATCTTCTACTTTTGATAGATGACATAAGCTAGTGTTGAGTGGAGTATATTTATCTACTGCTGTACCCTTTATTGCGTTATACTGATATATAGACACCCACGCCATTTTTCTAGGGCTATCTCATTGAATGACACAGACATGTGACTTTTGTTTGCCAGTTAAATGATCCCAAACTATCAGGGCTGATAACTGCTTGAAAATATCATCTATATATTTTTGGAGCTCAGTTCTACAAACAGTTACTAAGACATATAATACTGGCTACCATGCATAGTCCCCTCAATATGCCCTGTAGAAAATGTTTGTAGGATCAGGCCTTCAACTTGTACATGGTATTTATTTGCGACTGTCACTTCATTTAACAGCCTTCATATACTGGTAGATAATTTAGTGCCATTCACAGGGTCCCAAAGTATGCTATGGATTTACTTTCCTGTATTTCTCTCTCTCTCTCTCTCTCTCTCTCTCTCTCTCACACACACACACACACACACACACACACACATTTTCTTTATAGCCATTTGTTTCATTACATCTTGTAGTAATTTATCTGTCTGCTTCTTGCCAATTGGGGCATAGGCAAAAATGTTTGATGACTAATAATAAATCATTTTTGAATAAATCAAGTTTTTTAAAAACAAAATATTATGTTCATCAAGCTAGTTATTTTGCTTTGTAGACTGAACCATGTGTTCAAGGAAGAATAGGTGGAGGATAATGCCAGAGAGGAAGAGCTATCAAAATATTTTCTATAGCTGGACTCTGCAGGCCATAGGGTCTCGTTTGTGAATTCCCTCTGAGAGATGGAATTTGGATTTTAGACTTGAGTTTGGCTGGAGCTCAGAGTAGACCTATATTTGGAAGAAATGGCTTTGTTTTGTCCAAAGCCTCACACTTGCCTTGGAGGGACTCCAGGGCCGCCCACACACCCTTGTCTTTTCCAGTTCCTGGAGCAATGAGAGAAAAAGAAATAACTTAGGGCCAGCTTCTCCTGCCCTTACACATGCTTATTAGTGCCTTACTTCTCAAGTAAGGCCATTGATTGCAGTGGAACTACTCAGGGAGTAGGGTACTGCTCCCTGAATAACGGTGGCAGAATCTAGTCCTGAGCTGATTTTGGTGTTTTTAACAACACACTATTTTGATAAAATGCAGACTTAATGGCAATTGGCCAGATTCATCCCTGGTGTAACTTCATCAACTCCTATGGAGTTCCAACAGTGATTAATTGGACTCATGATTTCAGGGGTAAGCTGCTCTTTCCATAAGAGGCAAAACTTGCTGTCCTTACGCAAGTTCTAGGTCAGGGTCTCATATGATCCAGCAAAGGCTGTTCCAAAAGCAGCACTGATCACACTTGCTTAAGGACTAAATTCTTTAACCCTTATTTGGTGTAAGGACGGAGGAAGAACTGCAGGGTTTGACCCAAAATGATGTGGACCAATTGCGTTGCTCTTACAATAGCTGTTGTTTCATCATCATAAAATAACCATGAAAAAGCTCGCATATGGTGCCAGATGGGGGTGATAGAGGCTAGCAGCAGACAATATCAAACAGAAAAATATATATATATAGTTCACATTTGAGTTGTTTCATGTTAATCTGTCATAGGGTGACTTGAAAGCCAAATAAAACATGTCTTGTGACTTGAAACTGAACTATTGATGAACTCCCTGTGGTGGATATTTTGCTTATGCTGGTAAACTTGTTTTTCCTAGATTGGTTGCATGTAAAACAAAACAGTGTATTTTATTAAATCTGTATTTGGGAAGTCATTACTTTTTTTTCTTAGCCAACTCCATCCCCTACCCATATTGACCCCTCTGAAGTCTCCAGGTGCCTGATTGCTTCCTTGTGGACTTACAAGGAGCTCCCAGCATGGCCACTCCATAGGCTTTTGTGGACTTGGCAAGGCAGAGAGAGGAGTCCTAAGTTACCTCAAGTCTTCATGAAACTGGGCCATGTTTCTTCCCATTTCTCACCTCACCCTCCTCTTTCCCCCATTGAGGATCTGTATTTCATTGCAAGGCAAAGCTCTCACAGTCCAGTGGGATACCTCTATTTCTCAATCACTTTCCTCTGAGACATCTTCATTCTTTACACTGGGGTGAAGATGTGTTATGGACTGAACCTCCATCCTGACATGACCAATAAAAGCAACCAAGGAGCAGGAGAAAATCAAGACCCTTCCCCCGTGAGTAGAAAGTATCACATCCTCAATAGTCCCACTCCCTACTGACCCAGGAGGAAAGAAGCAAACTCACATGATAAATTCCCAAAGGATCCTAAAACACATAATGAACTGATGTCTAGACATAATCAAAGGGGTCACTTAACCCACCACTGAAATGCAACCACCTCCAAGATTCCCCTCAAGAGTAAATTTTTATAACTGTTTAATAGCTAACTGAAGCACTACACAGCAAGTTAAGATAGGAAGCAAAGATAAAGGGCCAGATTCTCAGCCCTCAATCCAGTAGCCTTGCACTACTCAGGAAGTACAAAGGGAGTGAAAACTTCACCTAAGTCCCCTTCTGGAGATTCATGGGCTAGTCTCCAGCAGGCATAGAGGCAAGCTCTACACCTCCCTCACCACATTACCAGTGCAGGAGGCATGTCACAGGGGGTGGGGCAGGGTATGATTGGAGCACAATGTGCATTAGCAGTCCCCAGCTGGTGTCTGGGGGTGTTTTCTGGTCTATATTGCTATTACATTTATATTAATCTAGGATAAAAGAGGAGGAAACAATATCACAATATATATTTCGCTAAGTGGTGGGAAGTGCGCCTTTAAGTAGCCGAAGCAAGCCCCTCCTTCCCTTCCATTGCTGCAACCCAGTTCTACAGCACTGTTCATTGGGATATTATTGTAGAAGCATGCATCACATGGAACATACCACAAAAGACTGCAATGACCAGGCAAGGTAAAGTGAGGAAAAAGCTCTTCCAGTTTAGAAGCTAAAACTGAAGCTGAACTAGCTGGTTTAAATCAGTTTGGGATACCACTGGAAATTAAAGGATCTGAGCCTGCTACCACCGAAGTCATGAGGCCAGAGCTTCAGCTGACTTAAAGCAGTGGGGACCTTTGACTTTAGTAACGCTACACTGATTTATAGCACACGTGGCGCTGCAGCAATAGAAAAAATCCCATTGAGTGCACTGGGGCATAATCAGGATCAGAATTCAATAAAGAAGTCATTTACAGTAATGTCAAATCACAACACTTAGTGACATGGCTCTCTATATATTAATAGATAATAACTCAGTTGCATGGATTTAATTGAGGTTCATCGAGCGCTATGGATAGGCCCACTTTAAATACACTGAAATAAATAGACAGCAAACGAATTCATAGAGGGTCAGTAGCTGTTAAGGTGGCAATTAAACAGTGTTGTGTTTCAAGAATGTCTTGAGATGACACAGTTAAGCAACAGTTTCTCTTTTGCACAACAAGAGTATTAAAAACTTTCTCAACCAATTTTTTTTTAAATATGTTGTTTTTAAGTGTTTCCTGAATTGATCCCAGAACTGTTGGGTTTGAAGTGGAACGTGTGTTGGCTGATGGTATGAAATTTGTAAAAAGTGTTTAAGCCTTGTACTTCAACCAGTCAGTTTGGTTCCTACTCTCATGTCAGTTCATATTTCTTGGTTTAAATCTAAGTAAACAAAATGATTTCACTCAACTCTTTTGTCTCTAGTGTCCTACAAATACAAGCTTTGAAACTGAATCTGACCCTTATGTTTTGCTCCCTTATTAAACATTTTGTTAGCTTTAGGGCGTTGGGAAATGGAAGGAGCTGTGTTTGTAACTTATTATCCACTATTGTTTGTTGCAACCTTTTTCTAATTACTTATTTTCTTTCTTTGGCTGATTTTATCCAACGGTTAGCAAAACATGCTTTCAGTTACAAATGTGTTGTCCAGAAATCCTATCAAAATATTAAATGCATAGAACATAAGAACAGCCATGAAGGGTCAGACCAATGGTCCATCTAGCCCGGTATCCTCTCTTCTGATAGTGACCAGTGCCAGAAGCTTCAGAGGGAATGAACAGAGCAGCACAATTTTGAGTGATCCATCCCATCATCTAGTCCCATCTACCGGCAGTTGGAGGTTTAGGGACACCCAAAGCTTGGGTTTGCATCCTAGACCATCTTGGCTAAGAGCTATTGAAGGACCTATCCTCCACTAATACATTTTTAACCCACTGGTCCTTTTGGCCTTCACCGCATCCCCTGGCAGTGAGTTACACAGGTTGACTATGTGGAGTGTGACAAAGTACTTCATTTTGTTTGTTATAAACCCGCTGCCTATTAATTTCATTGGATGACCCTCGATTCTTGTGTTATGCAAAGAAGTAAATAACATTTCGTTATTCGCTTTCTCCACACCGTTCATTATTTTATAGACCTCTATCATGTCCCCCGTTAGTCGTCTCTTTTCTAAGCTAAATAGTCCCATCTCATTTTAAACTCTCCTCATATAGAAGCTATTTCAAACCCCTAATCATTTTTGTTGCCCTTTGCTGTACCTTTTCCAATTCTAATATATGTTTTTTGATATCACTGAGGTTATAATTTATTACTATGGTATTTATTTCTTATATTGGGTGTAACCTGATTAAACAATATTTTTTCTACCTGCATAGTTTTTGGTCCATTATCAGATCCTTCATGACTTATCTTGCTTTCATTCAACTGCATTAAGGGAAGATCAAAGTGAATTTCCATGAGGAGGGAATCATCTTTCTGATTCCTTTGCACTTGAGTTCTCGGTTTGCCCAGGAGCAGGGATGATAGCATGAAAAGACAGGAACCTTAGAAACCTACAGAGCAGCTCACTATACAGTACTTTGAATGGCAACAACAACAACAAAAAGGCTCTAAGAACAGCTGCATGATTATCTATTGCAGAACTAATTGCTGTCCACAATTTTTCTGTTACTCCGTAATTCTCCACAGTTTGGCAAAAGTTCTAGGTATCAATTATCAGTGGTAAGACCTAAAACTTGTTAGGAAGGATTTATGGGCCAGATCTTAGTCTCATTGAAGCCCTAAGGCCATATCAATTGGTATAAAAATGACATAGCTCCATTGGCCTCAATAGAAATACACCGATTTATACCATA